ATATAATAAGTTCGGCGGCTATAATAAGTGTAATAAACGTGGGAACGGCGAGTATAGTAAATTCGGTGGGTATAATAGGTTCGGCGGGAGCGGCAAATTTAACGGGCGTAGCAAATGCAGCGAGCGCGGCGGGCGTAAAAGTTTTTAGAACAATAATTAAATTAATATTGTTTTTTTACATATATTATAAGGGTTCCGGTTTTAACTATTCTTAAATAGAACTTTTTATTCCTAATAAACTTAATAAATAATATTTTCTTATTCCTAGGGGGTAGCATTTTTAAATATAGTATTTAATTACCCGGATATTAATTTTTAATCTTCTAATTTTCGTTTTTAAAATTATACTTATTATAAATACTTATTACCTTTATAAATTTAATACTATTACTTCCAATAAAATTGTCTTCATCGGTTAGTATTTACCCTATATCTATTATAAATTGAAGTAATACCCTAATAAATAGAATTTTATCAAAAGAATTTTTAAGAAAAGTATTAACGTTTATTAGCTATAGGGGAAAGGTTTAATTATAATTAATATTAAAATCTATTGTAGTAATACTAGTAGTAGTAATAGTAATAATAGTAATAATAGTAATAATAGTAATAGTAATAGTATTAATAGTATTGACTACTAGTTTAATTTAATATTATTTTATAAAAAAATAGTTTACATATTTAAAATTTTGGTAGGTTAATTTATCCAATGTCTGTACATTTAATTTTTTTTTTAATTGAAGTACTTTACTATTATTACTATACTAATTTTATAATATTTGGTAGTCTACAATATTATAATATTAATAATTGAAGTAAAGTAATATTAAATTTTAAACGGAGAACGGTAGTTACTTTAGAAAAGGTTTCATTATTTACTATTTAATTTATATTATAATATATTAAACTATAGTAATATAGCGTAGTATTGTAATAGTTTTGCCCGATGTCTTTCCTTAATATAGTGCGTTACAGTGCCTTAATATTATTGAAGAACCTAAAATTTTTTAATTAATTTTTCTCTTTTTTTTTTTTTTTTCTTTGATGCGGCGGTACTGCGCCGCGTCGGCGGCGTTGGCGTTTCGAATTCCATTGTGGATGGGATGTAGATGCTCCAAGTTCCGTGGTGGGCCTGTAAAAAGGTACGTCCCTTTTATATAGCCCTAATATTTGATTCCGTGTAATGGGTCCCGAGGATTCGAATTTTTGCTCAATTCATGCATGACATTCTGTAGGGCAAGAGCACGCTATACCACGCTAGGCAAGCGCGATCCTTTACCCCTGAAGAATTTCAGATGACGCAAATGCTAAACCGCAACATGGGAAAGCAAAAAAAGAAAACATTCCAGTCAACACTTCATGTGAAAGGGAAAGAGAGAAGAAGTGAAACTCCAACACAAGGCTGTAAGACTTTGTGACGAGGCAATCTACATATTCACAACCAATTGCTATCGTCGCATGACCAACATTTTGCGACCTTGAAGGTCCGATACGGAGGGAGCATGGATGTTCTGCTATGCAAACATGGCGCGGCGGATACGGAGCACCTCTTTGAAGCCCCGCACGGATTACATACAGTTCCTTTCGGCACCGATATGCACGGCGAACATGCATCATCTTCCGCATGGTGTCTCCTGGCTCCTATCCCTCTCGTTCCTTCCTCTTTCCTATCTTCTCTTCCTGGCCAGGCCTCTTCTAGACCACCTGTTCCATCATTTGTTGCGATGGGAAACCTGGTCCATCACTCACCAAGCCGGTGGCAGTTGCCGGGTCGAGTAACAGAAGTCTTCTAGCCGACTTGCGCAAGGAACCTAACTACACGCGGTTGTTCGTCCACTTCCTCGATCCGGTTCGGCTATTCCTAGTATCCTTACGATCCTCCTCCTACCTTCGGCACACCTATGGTAGAGATGGGTTACACTCGTTACCTGGACGTATCAACTACGCCGAGATGATCGACAAAGAAAGTTTGGACGTCCTGTGCCAACGTAACCCAATGACCCCAAATCCAACCATCCTCTTCGAAAAAGCTTCCCAAGCCCCAGGTTAGATGCACACAAGTTCGGCTTGATGCAGGTCCCAGAGGCACAGAGTAACATTTGGGCCCGGGTGATTGCATGAGAAAATGAAGAGGGCCAAATACGATGACCCTCATCGCGGCAAATGCTCGGCACACAAACACGCCTTATGGAGATGAAGAAATCCTAACCCATCCGCGCCCTCGTTTTGGGAGGGCGATATCAGTGAAGGAGCAGGGTTGATCATTAACTGCAGATATCAGCAGACCTGACGAGATTCAACGACAACCAGAAGGTGGCTGTTGATTAGATGACAACTTGGACCTGTGGCTTCTAGTCGTCGTACATACCTCAACCAGAACCTTGAATTGTCAGATCCTAAGGCTCTTCAAGGTTTCAAAGATATCTTGTATAATCGAAGCCAACTCATCCGCGTCCTCAGTCCTAAGACCTACCCCGATAACGTCTTCGTGATGATGGATCCGAAATAGCACAGACGGGATGCATCCGTTGCCCAAGCGGCGGTGCTCTCGGCTTTGGCGGGCCAACTCCCGAGTGGAGGAAGGGGCATTGACTTCGTCCTAAGAACTGGTGAGTTGCTCATCCTCAGCTTCAAGCTGGTTGGTGCCTCCTCTTGCCGAACCAACGACACTTAACTACCTGTATGATCTAACCTCGTATTGGGACGGCAGAAAATCAATGCGGTGACCCTGAATACCGTCCTGTTGGGAAAGTGCTGGTGCGTAGGCGGTGACTCCCTTCGTCGTGAAGTGGAACTTGCTCATGTCATCTGTATTAACTCCTCGATCGAACCTTGAGGATGACAAACGGACTTTTGAAGCGGCAACGTCGTGAACACTTCACTGGTGAACACTTCACTGGCCTTGAGCCGCTCAAGGTTATCTATAAATATTTACCTTTCGTGGCCGTGAGATTGTCTTCCTTTTGCCTCCTTTACCCAAGCAGAATTAACCGCCAAATTTTCAGGCACGATGAGATCTCTCCAGATCCTGGCTGGCCTTGCCGGTCTCATAAGCATGGTGAGCCCCATCCAGGCTTCAACGGTCGTCGACCCGTCGACTGCCGCCAAAGCCGCCATCGACGCCATGAACAACGCCTTCTACAATCCCTCCGAAGGCCGCTGGTCCCCCGACGTCGCCTGGTGGATCTCCGGCACCGCCCTCCAGGCCGTTTTGGACTACATGCATATAACCGGCTCTCGGGACTACCTCTCTCAAGCGCGCGAGATCATCGACAAGCAAAAGGCGCCCTTGCCCGGGTGGCCGCAAGGCGGTGGCAACTTCATGGCGGACTCGACCGACGACACGGCTTGGTGGGCGCTGGCCATGCTCCGCATGTTCGACCTCACGGGCGACAAGCAATACCTGTCGATTGCGATGCAGGACGAGGAGTACATTTGGCATTACTGGACGGACACGGAGTGCGGCGGCGGGATCTATGTGGACATCAGGGCGATGACGTACAAGAACGCCATTGCGAACGCCTTGTACATCAAGCTGGCCGCGGGTTTACATCTTCGAACGGGTGATCCTCATTATCTGACCAGGGCGCTCAAGGCGCATAAGTGGTTTATGGAATCGGGCATGATTAACGCAGAGGGATTGGTCAACGACGGGTTGACGCAAGATAAGGCAAATGGAGTGTGCTTCAACAACGAGGGACCGACGTGGTCATACCTCCAGGGAGTGGTAATAGGTGGCTTAGTCGGTACTGTATTCCCTTTTCCCCTTTTTCTTAACGAGCCATATTGAACTTCAAAACAACTAACAAAACCAAACCTTAACGCAGAACTCTTCCGCACAATACCCGATGAGACCTACATCCGCTCCGCCGCAACCCTCGCCAACGCCGTCATCTCCTCTTCCAAACTCACTCCCCCCTCCACAGGCGTCCTCACTGATTACGCCTGCGAGGGCACCGCAGCGGGCTGTAACTACGATCAACAGAGCTTCAAGGGCATCTTTGCTCGCAACCTCGGCGAGCTCGATGCGTTGATCGTGGGCAGACCGTATCGCGCATACCTGGAGCAGAACGCAAACTCGGCGTATCAGAAGGCACGGAACGCAGATGATACGTATGGTACCAGCTGGGCGGGGCCATTTGATGCAAGCAGTTTGGCGAAACAGCAGTCGGCGGCGAGCTTGTGGGTTGCGCTTCTATAAGAAGAGAGTGCGGGTTCGGTATCGTTTGGCTGTGCCTGTGGGGTTGAAGTTAACAGAATGGGATGGTTTTGAACTCGCTCTTGAGAGGCTTGGAATAGACGATGGATGGATATGGTTCGGGCACAGTCTTTTATCACGCGAGGCTGTTGTTGCGCCCAGAAACGAACACATGGGCAGGCCAAGAAGGAAAATAAAGAGAAGGGATTAGAGAGCATAGAATAAAAGTCATTGCTAGAGGACATTGCATTCTTCATCTTGACAAGCTGGTGACGCTGTACAAAGTCAGGGGCTCTCGGTATACGCCATATCTCACCACTTTACCATTCTGAGCTTCTTGCCGAGCCTGAAAATACTACAATGAAGATTAACATTGGGCGTGTGATAGCAATATCATCAACGTCGTTCGCAAAGAGACAAAGCCCCCGCCGCTACCTGTACATACATACGTACGGGATAATCTGAAAAACTCCAATCACTCCGTTTTCGTCCCATAAAACAACTCCAAACCTCCGCGTCCGCCGTCCCAGTCTATTGATTCTTTTTGGGGATGTGTTGACCAAGAAGATCTGTTGTTCCGCTTAGGTCCTCATTTCCGTCCATTTAGACCTTCCTCTTGTATTCTTCTGTCTTATTTGCCCTTATCGGTCGCTTCGTCCTGGGCCTTCCTTTTGTATTTTTCCTTCATTGTCCCGTCTACCTCTATATCCCCAAATTTTCGATCTGAGCAACATGCCAATCCGAGTTGCAACCTTCCGTTCCTCCTCCCACTCCACCGCACAAAGAAACATCACGTCATATCCTATAGGCTGAAAGGCCTCTTGGGGTAGCTCACTCCCTCGACCGCCGCGTTGTCGACAAACCAACTGCACCTCTCGCCCGTCGCCTCGTTCACCAGCGCGCACGGCAAGCCCTTGCCCTCCTCAAAGATATCCTTCATGATCTCCTTCTTGCCGCCGCCCGTGGCCACGAACGCGACGCGCACCGCGTGCGTCACAACGGGAAGGGTGAGGGTGATGCGGCGCGGGGGCGGCTTGGGCGAGTCCTCAATGGGGCTGACCCAGGCCTCGGTCTCGCGCAGCAGCTCGTGTCCGGGGAACAGGGAGCAGGTGTGTCCATCGGGCCCGCAGCCCAGCAACAGCAAATCGAAGATGGGCAGCTTGACCGAGTCGCGGGAAGCAAAAGAGCGGACGAGCGTCTGCTCGTACCGGTCCGCCAGCTCCTGCGTGTCGTCGAGGACCGATTCGTCGATGGTGTGCACCGTCGGTTGCGGGGTTCCCTGGGGCAGCTTGTCGAGCAGCTCCTTCTTGAGCAGCGCGTAGTTGGAGTCCTCGTGGTCGAGCGGGACGGCGCGCTCGTCCGCGAAGAAGATCTCCCAGCTCTCCCACTTGACCTTGTCGGACTCGTCCTTGGCCGGGGCCAGGAGCGCTTGCGCGAGCGTCTTGGGCAGCGAGCCGCCCGAGACGCCGACCTTGAAGACGCCGTGCCGCTCGAGGCCGGCCTCCTGACACGAGATCAGGTAGGAGCGCAGGGCGGTCGCGAGCGTGTCGACGCTGGGGAAGGAGTAGAGGTTGACTTGCTTGCCCATTGCTGTTGGCTTATCGCGGGAGGTAGCTGTGGTGGGAGTTTCTGTTGGTGCTGTTTCGGTGAGGGTTCAGGTCTGTTCAATTCCGATGACCGGCGATAGGAGGTCGCTACAATGTCGTAGGTGATTCTTCGAAGTCGTGGAGGGAAGGGAAAGAGAAACGGGTTGGGTTATGGTCTGTCTGTCGGTGTCTTGTCGGTGCGATGACTGCGGGGGCGGGGACGATAGCGCAAACCGGACCAACTTTTAGTATGCAGTCAGTCACTGAGAAAGCCGTAGCAGTAGCCGTAGCGATAAGGTAGAGAGCTCCGAGCGTCGTCTTTTTAGTGGGGTACTACCAACGGCGAACTGCAGGCGGGGAAGGAACTAAAAAGTTTTGCGATGAATCAAAATGGAGCTTGCACCTCCCCTTGTTAAAGGTTCCGGAGCACACACCTCCAGATGCTATACGTCAGATATGGAGTTGTCCAACACCACGACGACAGCTCAACGACAAGCAAAGCATATGCTCAAGATATGGCTATGGAAGGTCGCAATCCGCAGCTTGTCGGCCAACTGATTATCGTGTCCGGACTGGCACAAAGCCACTTCAGTACTCTGTAGCTTGAGAACGATGTCTCACGACCTACAGTACATCTATGGGGTTCTGTATGTTGACAAGGAAGGAAGTCCAGGGTCACCCAACGAGCTGCGAACAACAGCCAACAACGATTCAAGGTTGGTAGGTTAGTAGTGGGAACAAAGACGCCATCGTGGAATCATATAGAAAGCCCCTGGAAACCTCAGAGAGAGAAAGACGTACAACTCACAACATACCTGCGATAACGCCTATCACCTTGTGTCGATAACCAATAAACGTGGGGGTGATGGTATGGGTGAGACAGCGGGAGATAATCTCATGACCATCCCGTCCATGCGGGTGTATCTCAAGGGTCCTCGATGGAGGGGTAAACTGTAGCATAGCGTGTAGACCACGGTTCCTTCGAGTTAAAGATCACATATAACCACCTCTATTCTGGCCATGACAGTATGATGGTTCGATATTTGAATCAATCAAGGTTAGTCAAGTACGTGTTTGTGTGATCCGCTTGCACAGAAGGGTTCACTCTTGCACTACGATAGATCCAGAGCTCTGAGGGTTGGCATATCGTGTCTCACCCCATGACATATGATATTGGTATGACACGCTCCGTGGCGGAGGGGAAAAGTAAATAAGATATTGAAGAGTAGCTTGGTGAATAGTTTGGTTTAGGTTTCTTTTGCCTCTGAGAGTCCTATCCGTCATAGTGAGATCAAGACGCCATGTTGTGAGAATCGTTCCCATTCTTTGTCGTAGCATCGTCATGGTCAACCTCTTATCTCTTGTCTCCATTTAATCCTGCCTTGCCGACGCCCCAGCACTAGCGGATCGTGATCATGGGATACTTCAATGAAACTACTGAGCTGACAAAGTGCTGGCTTCGATCTCGATATGTTGCTTGTGCGCATGGTATTTAGTCTACTTGTAAGGTAAGAACAAGATATGTCGATAGGTCTTGGAGCAAACGGGAGTGACAGCTCGGAAGTTCCGAATGCCATAAATGACGGCATAGTGCCCCGGCGAAACGGAAGAGTGAAGGGGCAACCCCTTTCTTCTTGTTCAATGAACCACTCCCTACTGAAGGTATTTGTATCTCTACCAGTTTGGATGTCGAAATATGAATTTAGAAATTTGTTCTCTTTTGGGTTGTGGTATGAACATTTCCTTGTAGTGAACAAGAAAGTTAATTACACGAAGCTGCAGTACCAATTGAGTAAATTACCCGTAAGCCGCTAAAGTTTACGCGGAACGGGCCCATTTACACATGAAACGCCCTAACATAATCACGAATCAGGCAGCAGAATTACTACTTCCAGGTTTTGATCGAGCTTCCATCCATGCCAGAATGTTGATACTATCACCGCCATTGTCGTCATTATTCCCTCCTTCGACACACCCACAAAAAGAAGAACCTGAACCCTTTTTACGTTCAGGCTTTTTGATGGTTCTGTGATGCAGAAATCATACGATTCCTGCTTCCCTCCAGCGGAGACGGCCATGTGCTTCCCGCATATGCACTTGCAGATCGTTACCAGCCCGTTGTCCAATGGGATCTGCGTTGTTAAGTTGTCTCTGAACTTCGATTTCCCGAGTGTCGAACGAGCATCGAAGGAAGATGTTCCGAGCTTCCCTAGAAATTGGAAAAGGGTTCCGTCTGGTTGGTCCCGTACCACCCGCCCGTTGTTCAGATTCACAGGGCGAGACACCCTTCGAAAGGGGTACGATGCGAAGATCTACAACAACCGCAACGGCAACAACGGAAAAGACGATGGATCTGTGCCTTGGCAGAGGCAGCAAGTGGATGGGGATACATGTTGGATCTGACATATGCAGGGCAAGGCAAAATAAACCGCTAGGGCCTTGGATACTTGGCAAGGCGATTGCGAAGGTTGACAGAACTCCAATGACATCCCCCGGAAGTGGAAAGTTGAGGAGATTGACGGGCACGGGAGGTCCACTGTTGCTGACAGCCCGTCCTGATCATTTCCGCTCACAGCTAAAGGTATCCCACGATGTTCCGGTTGGGCCTTGCCTTTTCACTTGACTTGGAGGATTCCTTGCTCAAGATCAAGCCGGGCAAATGTCATCCACTCATTCATCCTCAAGGACGTGCCTTGCCTCCAATTGACAAATATCGCCAAGTAGCCCGGAGGAAAGGGAATCAATTTAGTGCTGATTTCAAGGCCAGTTATTGCTCGTAAGGCGGGACATGGCGGGGTACCTTAGAGGTAACTTTCACTTTTCCTTGTCAGGCAGGGGTAGCTTCAAAAACGCCCTGGTTGCGTCACTGATACAGCCAGGACGGACAGTGCGCTTTTTGTCTTTCCGCAGTTTCGAAATTTCGGCAGCACGGCTTATCGTCGGTCGAAACAACGATGTAGCGAAGAGGTTAAGAGGTATCGCCAGCCTCGACAATCTTATGGCTTTGAAGCAATCGCTGAGGAAGCCGTGGACACTGACAGAGTTGATCTCCCGGCATCTTTGTTCTGGCGATCGTTTCCCTAACCAGGGCCAACGAGCGAAAGCTTGTTGTTTGTTAGCGCTTCGTTTTGGCAGCTCTGGGCGGGAGTGGGAGCTTTCAACTTGCCCCGAATCAGATCCATTTTGGGCGCCTCAACCATGCCAGTAGCCAATCATGTCGCTACTACGGAAGGCGGCAGGGGCAGGAACGGGGTGGCGGCCGGGCTCGGAGGTGCTGTGAGAGTCACGATCGCCACGCCTTTGGGGACGACGGTCAGGTCCACGGAATCTGACTCAGTGAGCAGTTACTACTCCTTCAGAAAGCCTTGAACGAACATCTCCGAAAAGTTACCTAGGTCGATCACTTGGCGACAACTTCCGATTTTTTCAATAAGCTATTTTTGTTCAGAACATACCTAGTAACCCTACCATGGCGCAGCCGAAATACCTCAGTGGCGACGTCGCCGCCATCAACGAGTTCATTGACAAGTTCGATGTTTGTCTTCCCCGGTGGAGCCATCAGTAATACGCTTGAATCCTGGATGCAATACTTACACAAAAAATAGGTATTCTTGTTCGACTGCGATGGTGTGCTATGGTCTGGAGACCATGTCTTCGAGGGTGTTGTCGAGACGCTCGAGTTGCTGAGATCAAGAGGTTAAACAACCCCAGCCTGTGAAGGTTTATATGGGACCCGATCTGACAAAAGTGACGACAGGCAAGAAGACGGTGTTTGTGACCAACAACTCAACAAAGTCTCGTCCTGAGTATAAAAAGAAGTTCGAGGGCTTGGGAATTCCAGCAGATGAAGACGAGATCTTTGGCTCCGCATATTCTTCCGCCATCTACATCTCCAGGATTCTGAAGCTGGCGCCGCCAAAGAACAAGGTCTTTGTGGTTGGAGAGGCAGGCATCGAGAAGGAGTTAACGACCGAGAACGTTCCATTCATTGGTGGCACCGACCCATCTTTCCGGAGGGACATAACGCCAGAAGACTTCAAGGGCCTTGCGGACGGATCTCTACTCGATCCTGAGGTCGGCTGCGTGCTCGCGGGCCTGGACTTGCACATCAACTACCTGAAGCTGTCGCACGCATACCAGTACCTCCGGCGCGGCGCCGTGTTCCTGGCGACGAACATGGACTCGACCTTCCCCATGAACCACAACTTCTTCCCCGGCGCAGGGTCCATCAGCGTTCCGCTGGTCAACATGACGGGACAGGAACCCGTGGCGCTCGGAAAGCCTAGCCAGGCCATGATGGATGCCATCGAGGGCAAGTTCCACCTGGACCGCGCGCGGACTTGCATGGTGGGAGACCGGCTCAACACCGATATCAAGTTCGGCATCGAGGGACGGCTGGGCGGCACACTTGCGGTCCTGACGGGAGTGAGCAAGAAGGAAGACTGGGAGGCAGCGGATGCGGTTGCCGTGCCATCATTTTACGTCGACAGGCTTAGTGATCTAAGGGCCGCTGCGCAATAATGGTGGAGAGCAAGGAGCTGGTGATGTACAGGGTGCGGGTATGCGGAGTTACGGATGCCTGGTAAGACGGGGGGCTATAGATGCTAGCATGGACAGCGTGGATATTGCCATATTTCCCTTTACTAGAGAGCAAGCATAGAAGAAATTGAGGCAGCCAATGGAATAGACTAGAACAAGTAAATGAGGCGAGGCCCGGCCACAGGAACACAACAACGGCTGAGAAGGGAATAACGAGGTGCTCGTGCTTGTCCGTCTGTCATTACGTCCCCCGATCGATGGCCTGATTATGACAGTTAATGAGGATGACAACATAGACCATTGGCAAATAGTCTGGCGGTATATGATGGCATATTCGCATGTTGGCATGTGGTATGTTGGGATATTTCCTTGATGGCGAGTAGGTGGAGAGAGCAGGAAAGGGAAAAGTCCCATGTGATGTTATTTCAGGAGTAGGACAGTGTGGCCGGTCTGGATCTTCGGG